GTAAGACAAGACGTTCGGGTCAACCGCAGCGTTAGACGCCATGCCCTGCACCCTGCGTGGAAGTCGAGATGTGACCAGCGAAGCGCTTGGACCCCTCCGGCGTGGCGAGCTCGAGCGATGTTGGGCGCTGCTCTCCGTCCTACAATGTTGTAGGCGCCGCCCTCAGCCTCCAGACGAAGAACACGACGCAGACATACGACAACCACTACGTTCCAAGGGCAAACCAACAGTCACCGCGCCTCCCGACCCCCACGGGGTCGGGGCTTGGCAAATCCTGTCCGACACGCCGCCCGCAGGGGCCGGATGGGACGTACCCACTTGCTAAACGATGGTCGTGGCGTGCCCTGACGGTCCACAATCGCCTCAATCGACACGATCCGCCATGATGGGCGATCAGGCGTGGGAAGAAGGAAGGACCGGTTCCTCGAAGGACCTTCTATGCTCTTAGTGTTTTCTTCTTCCCGTCTCTGTAAAAAACCCCGCTTCCCTTGATCTATAAAAAGGAGGCGGGGCTCCCACTAAGGGACCGATTTCGGGACAAGTTAGAGCACACACACACACGCATCACACGGCCAAGCGCCAGCAGAGCTCTTGGCGCCCTTCCAATCACTCCATCGGGGACTTGGGGTCTCTCCTCTCCCAACCGTTTGTACCCCTACTACTTAACCTCATTCGGTGCTAATAACACGAGCAAACAACAGATCGACGAGGGACATTCAGCCCGAACCAAGATAACCCTTGTGTCCTTTAGCGCACCATCGGGCCTAACGCGCATCAATTACAAATTTACTCGCCGGTGTTTGTTCGAAACACCGACAGCTTTGTTCTCTGATCTCGATCTGCGCCCACTCTTGTTTCCTGTGCCTGCCGCTCGTGCCTCACCACTCCCACACGCATGCACGCGGGCCCAATAGCTACAAGTAGATGGCTATGGTAGGTCCCACGTCTAAAACAGACGAAACATTTAGGATTTATAGTTGAAACACCATTGCAACATGTGCAACATCCCGACCTACTTTTGAAATATCCAGATGTAACAGTTGCAACATACGTGTACAAAAAATAGATGAAACATTAGGGATAGACGCTTGCAACATACGTGTACAACCATTGCAACATATGCAACATCCCAATGTATTTTTGCAATATCCGCATCAAACAATTGAAACATACATCTGAAACAACTGAAACACTTGAAACATAGGCTTGCAATATGTCTGAATTAAAAACGTCCACAAACACTTGAAAACACAACATCGCCGCGCGGCCATGACCTACCAGGTGGGCAACTGCAGTGGTGCAAGCTTCCCCTTCCTGCCGACGACGTGAGGTGGATGGTGGCGTAGGTGCATGTGCAGGCCTCCCCTGCTTCCCCTTACGCGACGGCAAGGTGGATCGACGTGGCGATGGATGGTGGCGCTCCTGATCTCGTGCGGGCACGAGCTGTCGCTGCTCCGGTGGAGAAGGACGTGGTGGATTCGGCGTAAGCTGTTGTTGCTATGGTGGAGAAGGCGGTTGGCGAGCTAGAGAAGGCCGCGGCTGGTCGGAAGCGCAGTGGAGACGGAGAAAGGCGGGCAGCCGCGAGACGCGATGGAGAGGGATCAAGGCGGGTGGCCATGCTCGGGCATGGTGGAGATGCTGGCCGTCGGCCCCCTGGCTGCCGTGCAGAACGCCTGGGCGGCGAGGCGGCTATTGAATTATTAGGCTGGTGTTGCGGCTCGCGAATAGAAATGTGGAGGATCGGAGTCGTCACGGTAGCATTTCCGATAGGAAAATAGTTGAGCCTTCGTCATCTGACAACCGTTCAGAATCAGAAGGGATAATAATTGACAAATTTCTTGCAGTTTTTTTTTTTCAAAAAACAAAAAAAATGTAAGAACACAACTATTTCGGTCTTTGGTGCCTCTCCTGGTGCCCGGCCCAACCGGCAAAACCCCACGTATTGGCACATTGTGCTCCCAACAAAGCCGAACGTATTATAATTGCCCGACCGACGACCGAGGAACGAAACCACTCTTTTGGTGCCGTCGCACGGCGCAGAGACAAACCGCCAATTCTTTATGGGGCGCTGCTTCAGTACCGGTTCTTGGCATCTTCTCGCACAACACAAAAGGGACACTGGCAGGGCTGGATTATGGGGTCATTAATTAGTTAAGATCTAGTTTTGGTGCATGCAATTGTGGGCAGAAAGCAACATAGGGAGGCCCATCTCTTTTGTAGAATTGGGGGCAGCCTTTTCCCCCTTACAAAAACCCCGGCCTGTGTCCTCTTCATCCGCTCCTCCTCTTCCTCGCATCTCTGCCTCTTTCACTCAACGTGTACTGCAACTACTTTACTCACTTTGCACTTAATAAATAACTATACATATCATTTCTTGAAGAGCTATTTCTTTAAAAAATTATGTAATTTTTATAAAAATAATGTTAATATTTATATAAAATTTGCTACAATTAATCTATTGTTATTATTTATTATATATCATAAATATTAGTATTTTTATTATATATTTGGTTAACTTAAAATAGTAATTCATTGAAAAGAGACATATGTGATTATTCATGAAGAGGGGACATGTTAGGGTTTGCTTGATTGTACTGCTCTGTCGTACCCTGTATGAGTGGAGTTATGTAAAGCAGTCTAAGCAGTGTGTTTGGTTGGTTGCATGCCCTTGCGATTCTTGCATGAGCTAATACAATTGCATTTGTGGATGTAGACTGGCGGGATACACTTAGGCCCCGTTTGGCAGGGCTTCTCCAACGGCTTCAGGAGCCGTTTTGAGCCGTTTTCTGCCAAACGGGGTAAAATGAAACGGCTCCACCGATGAAGCCCCTAAAAACGTGCTCTCACAGAGCTTTGGGGTGGGAAGGAGCCAAAAATAGTGGCTTCTTCCGGCTCCTCCTCCAGGCCCCTAAAAACATGCTCTCACAGGGAAGCCATTTTGCCAAACGGTTTACCAAAACCGCTTCAGCTCCACCGGTGGAGCTGTTCGTGGAGCTGAAGCCAAAAAAAATGGCTTCACTAGTGAAGTGAAGCCCTGCCAAACGGGGCCTTATATTAAGCTTCACTCCCAGACCTAAGCAGTGTGTTTGGTTGGTTGCATGCCCTTGCGATTCTTGCATGAGCTAATACAATTGCATCTGTGGATGTAGACCGGCCGGATACACTTATATTAAGCTTCACTCCCAGACCTGGCTCAGTGGATGCATGATGAGGGTGGCGAAGCGATACACGTGTTGTATCCACTTATGCAGGTAACCAAACATTATCTATTTTTTCATCCGCTCATGCAACCACACCAAACACTTTCTTTTCTGAAATATGGTTTCTCCTTCGACCGTCGCCATCCTTCCTTCTCCGATGGGATCTCGCCTCCTCCCTCCCTCCACCGACGGCCGTTCCTCCAACTAGATTGCGTCTCCTCTCTCCACCGACAATAGATACTCCGACAGGATCTCGCCTCCTCATCTCACCAGCGGCTGACAAGGACCTCGGTGCTCTGGTGCTCCTCTTCCGCACCCCCTATCTTCCAGGTGATGGAAACATCATCTCTCCACAACTATCCGCCGATAGGCAAAACCTCGGTATCTCCTACATTTGAATGGGAGAAGTTTGTGATTTAAGTAATAATTACCAAGAAAAATTAGGTATTGGTAATAGGATAAATAATCTATTGGTTTCTTACTGATCTCTCATATTGCATATTTTTGGACTAAAGATGGTTTGAGGGATCTGTTGGAGATGCTCCTCTAAACTCCTTACAATAACCAAACACGTTTTTAGGGGAGAAATATTAATTTGCCACTAAGAAATAGGTTAACAATGACTAAATATTTTTTCCTCACAGTTATACCATTTATCAGTGACAAGATATTATACCGCCACATGGTTCAAGGTTATTGAGAAAATGTTACGATGAAATTATATTTTGCCACTATTTATCATATTAATTGTGACAAAACAATTATATTGCATATTTTTAGATTCAAGATTATTTAAGTAATCTGCTCGAGATGCTTCTCTAAACTTCTTACAATAACCAAATACATTCTTAATGGCACTAGAAGCATGTGTTTGTGCTACCAGAGGGAGACGGGGAGAGAATAAGAAGTGTGAGCCACGTGCCATGATTTCACACAGGTCAGGAGGTTCAGTAGCTAGTCCCTCCTCCCATCCCATCTCATCCCGTGCTAGACTCTGCCCCCCGAAACACTTCCCCATAGATTCCATCCCCTCTCTATCATCCTCGGCATCCGCCCCCCTTTGCCCTTGTTAATTCCAAAGGTTTCTGCAGGGATAACATTTGTGGCCTGTGGGGGTGAGCCCTATAGAATCCTGCCTGCCTGCCCTCCTTTTCATGTTGCTTTCCCTTTCCTCCTCCCCACCTCACCTCACCTCACCTCCCCCCTATTTAACTTCTTCAACCAAATTGCTTGTCAGCATCTTCCCAGTTTCTTTCTTCCAGCTGCTCCAACCACGCTACACTCTCTTCTTGCCCCTGATACTTGCTTGGATTTTTCTTCAGAGGAAGGAATAAGGATAGGCTACTGAGATATTCTTCCTACTAGGTGAACCCTCCTGAAAGCCCATGTCTTTGCTTGCTTGTTTGTTTCACCGAGTCCAGCCTGCTGGATTTCACCACCACCATCATGGCGTTTCCTGCTCTGGATTTGCTGCTTCTTTTTTTTTTCTTTTACCTCTCTCTGCTGCTGGGATATTGTACATTTGTACTGTATGTACCAGTTGAATCCTCACACTGCCGTGGTGGCCTTGATGAGCCTTTATTTGCTTCTTCTAGTACAGATTAAACAAACCAATCCCGCCAAAAAAATCTCAAAGTTCAAATCTTTCTGGCCCCAGCTAAATCAATGGGTTTCATTCGGTTTGTTTTGTGTGCGTTCAGTCCAGGACCGTAGCCTCCTCGTTTGCTTCCTGGTTTCTGCTGCTAGCAGTCGGTGAGGCGAGAGAGCAGAGCAAGCAGAAGCAGAGGAGGAAGGAGAGGCATGGAGGGGGACAGCTTCTCCGGCGCCATGGCGAACGGCGGCGGCGGCGGGCAGGTGGTGGACGGGAAGCTGATCCAGACGTTCCACAAGAGCTTCGTGCAGGTGCAGAGCCTGCTGGACCAGAACCGGATGCTCATCAGCGAGATCAACCAGAACCACGAGTCCCGGGCGCCCGACAACCTCACCCGCAACGTCGGCCTCATCCGGGAGCTCAACAACAACATCCACCGCGTCGTCGGCCTCTACGCCGACCTCTCCGCCTCCTTCGCCCGCACCATGGACGCCTCCTCCGAGGGCGACTCCTCCGGCACCCTCATCCGCTCCTCCGCCGCCGGCCACAAGCGCGTCCGCCCCGCCTAGCTACCTACCTTTCTTGGGTCTTGGCATGGTATGGCAATCCTAGCATAGGCGTTGCCATTGCCACTAGGCTTATTAGTCTTTTTCTTGCGCTTCTTCTTGTTGGTCTTCTTTGTTTGTCAGTGATTAGTGTATGGTAATTTAGTGACAAACAGAAAGCTGCTGCTATGTGGATGCTGTTCCTATGATTATTATTATGATGATGATGAGAAACAGAGACGCGGCACACGGTAGTGCCGAAGTAGTAGTATGTTTATGTTCTTGACAGAAATCAATCAATGTTCATTTTTGGCAGCCTTGCTGTTTGTTTACTCTTAGCAAGCATCTGGAATGGAAATTATTTGCAGCACAGTTCCAAGTGTACTACAGTACTAGGAGGACATGGAGCAAATGTCACTGCAGATGGGTCAGCTCAGGTAGGGATACAGTTCATGTTCAGTTCAACAGGACAGATCTTGAGAGCAATGTTACCCATCTGACCATCCCCTTACCACCCCCTCCTACCTGAGTTCTGAATCTGATGAGTGCATCGGCCGGGACTTTGGAGATCGATCTCCCAACTCTGAATCTGATGATTGAGTGCAAAATGGTGGCTGCCCTGCCCTGCCCTGCCCGTGTAGTACTGGGAATGCAAAGTGCAAAGCTTTACAACTTTACCAACCTGCTCCTCCTTGCTTGCTTGCTCACCCCTGCCATTGCCATGTCTTTCCTTCTTGTCCTGATGAGTTATCATGAAAAAGCTCAAGATGACCAAACTGCTTGTACCCTGAACTGAACTAGTATGATTTAGATAAGGGCAGGCTCTCCTTTTCTGAATGCCAAAATGGTTAAAGAAAAGCAAGGTCCGTCTCTCTAGTGGGCGTCTATCTGCAAGATGCTGGGCAGCATCACCAGCAGGAGCACAGCAGGACAGGAAAAAGCTCCAATAATTTTTTGGTTGCCAATCATGGTGTGCGACACCATGGCATGGCCAGAATCTTCCTCCTATTCGAAAGAGTGGTGTGTATGTGTCTTAAATCTGGCCTGTGTGTGAAACTTTTGACAACTGATTTGGCCTGGTGGACAGTGTCACTGGTCCCCTTTGCTCTCTGACTACAGTGGTAACACTGTCTCAACAAATTCAAACACACACACACACGGCATGTAGGCAGATTAGCAGTTCATGACAGTAGACAATTTGAATCTTGTAAGTTCTGGATCCCTGAATTTAATTCCATATTGTGCTTTTCATACTTGGCAATTTTTTTAACACAAATAAGTTGATAAGATGTGAATCTTTTGGCTAGCTAGTTCTGAAGGTACAGTTATAATGACATTATAGGTGTTCTGAGCCTCTTCTTAAAAAGAAGGAAATGCTAGCATTATGATTTTTCTTTCCTTTCAACAAATTTTTACTTTGATCCCTCCATGTGTTGCCTTGATCCTAGTCTTTGCATGTACTGCTACTCAGACCCTGTTTAGTTCCCAAAAAGTTTCCCAAAAAGTGCTACAGTAACCATCAATTCGAATCTTGCGATACGTGCATGGAGCATTAAATGTAGACGAAAAAAAACTAATTACACAGTTCGGTTGGAAAATCACGAGACGAACGTTTTGAGCCTAATTAGTCCACGATTGAACACTAATTACCAAATAAAAACGAAAATGCTACGATAGCTAAATTTTCAAATTTCACGAACTAAACACAGCCTTACTATTTCCGGTAAATATACGTGGACATCTCAAGGAGTACTAGCAAAAGCACCAGAGAATATTACCAGAACCATCTCACCAGTGTTCCCTAGCTGGCAGGACAAGCTGCGGTAGGCCCACCTAGCAGGAGAGTCTGTTTCCTTGTGATCTGATGACAGCATTCTCCAAAATCCAAATGCTTATCCCCTCCCAGAGCCCTAGTCTCTCTCTAGAACATGAGAGGATCTTTTGTATATAGTATTCTTTCTGCATGAAACAGCTATAGATATGAATGCATGAAAATGACATGGTCACTATTTACTTATTTAGTACTCAGACACTGCAGTTGGTGGGGCCCACAGCTGAGCTACACCCAGTGACACAAAACACAGCAGTTTTTGGATCACACTGTTGGGAACTGGCCAAATTCGGAGGGTCCTGCAATAATTCCACGTGGATTGCTACACTTGATTGGTCAAAAAAAATGTTTCTTGGTTGCTTAACTCTGCTAAGGAAATACCACATGGTCCTTGATGCAGTTTATCTGTTGTACTTATTATTTCCTCAAAATAACTTCTTGCAGAAAATATGTTAAGTCTATTTTAGAAGTCCTCTTAAATAAAACAATGATGGTTTCATTCCAATAATACAATTGAGTTGTGATGTAGCAATTGTCTTCTTTAATTTGACAGTAACAGTCCTAGAGAGGTCCCTAATTTTAAGACAGTACATGTGGCATTGACAGATAGGAGTGGTCAGATTTGGTGCAAGAGTGTACTCATTGATGTTAAACGGTGGTTTGCACAATGGTTTCCATGCATGTTACGTCAAAGTCTGTAATCATATTGCTTAACTGGTAAAAGAAGGTCACTGAGAATCATGATAGTGGAGATTAACGTATGCTAATTTAGGGTACAATTTAAGACCCTTCTCAATTTTTGGTAGATATATGTAGGAGAGTAGAATTTGTAGAATAGTCGATATATTGCTGAGCCTTATAGACCGATTATATAGGAGTATAGGATTGTCTTAGTGTATAAGACATGTTAGGGTCGTGAATTGAGCGTAACTCATTAGGTTAGATTTCTTGTGGTAGAATCTACTGATCTGGGTTCAAGACCTCGACTTGAAGTGGGCGCTCGTATTTTTCTAGATTTATTCATTTAGTGGTAAGCAGTATGTCCGTTGACAACGAGGCGTCTATGATGACTTCATCAATTTCATAATTCCCAAGAGACACAATGATATATCGCATTTTTCTAGATTTATTTCAGATCTATTCATTTAGTGGTAAGCAGTGTGTCCGTTGACAACAAGGCGTCTATGATAACTTCATCAATTTCATAATTCCCAAGAGACACGACGATATTGTGATGTACTCATTAACAACTTGCACATCTTCTACCCTATGATTGTACCTTCAGTTTGTCCTTCCAAACTACAAATTCACAAGAATTAAGTTTAGGCATTTCTGCATAATAACGAAAGCAAAAGCACATTGAGTGTAGTTCAATTGGTTAGGTTTCTTGTGGTGGAATTTATCCATCTAGGTTCAAGTATTCAACTTGATGCAAATGCTCATATTTTCCTTTATTTATTCTACATGTGCTCATATTTTTATGGATTTATTACAAGATTTAATGGCGTTATTCTTTCTATAGTAGGTGACATGATCTGTGGGTCCGATCTTTTTCAGAAGTGCTTATAGAGGTGTGTGCGTAGATGTATGTAAGCGTCTACATCCATTTCACACAAAAAAGGTTTTACCTTCGGCGAAAAAAGTTGCATTTCTGTTTTTTTTATAATTGCGACCTTCATCTGAACATTTGTAATCCTTGGAGTTACAAGTAGTTAAATCAACAAAGGAAATAAGGTGGTTCACATATAACTTATTTTTCAGTTGAATCAATGATTCGATATGTAGAGAAGGACATCACTAAGTGATGACTGATGAAAAGATGAAGCCTTCAAAACAATACAAATCGGCCAGTCTTATAATATATGTGGATGACAAATGTTTCTATATGTATACACTAATAATTAATGCCGTCACCACTGAAACCTGTGGAGGATTAGGTCCAGGCGTCCAGCAGATCTGCTCTGATACCCCATCAGCTGATTGACTCCACTACACTCGCCTGTTGGTTGGTTGGTTTCTACCGATAAAGTTCTACTGATCTTCAGTTTGTTACCGATAAAGTTCTCATTTGAAACCAACAAAGTCGAACAGGTTGATTGAAATCTGATACACCACCAGCAATTATGTTATACCCTGTAGTAGGTACATGGAGCTGTTGGGTTTGGGACAGGACCACCTCATATTGGGGCAAAGTGTTTCATGTTTGGCAGGACCACTGATTAGTGCAATGATAGTTATGTTAATGAGGCTTATCTTGTACCATTGAGGCATTAACTTATGTGCCTTTGTGCATTGTAAGTATCCATTTCCATCCAAAAATCTAGTGAAAGGACTCTGCTTTTCCTTTTCCTTAAAAGTATACCCCGAGGATGCTTGTCCCTGCTACTCCCTAGGGTCCATGAATGGCCTTTAGGGTTTTGTATTGTGCAAATATTTAAGGATAATAGTGTTAAAAATGCTTCACTGACGTTCGATTGCACAAATAAGTAATTTTGTTGAAGGCTGATAATGTAAACTATTTGAGCTGACCTTGTTTGTACTTTGTGGTGGCTACAATTATTTTAACACATTTGTGCACCTTTTGTTTCCAAATCCCAGATAGTTTATTGGGGTCCACTGACATCGTGGACCATGCATCTTTTTATAAATCCTGTTCACACATATCATAAAAGTAAGATTTTATTAAAAAACTGCCAGCATATTCCAAAATGTGTCACTGTATGGAAACCTTTTCCCTTCTGTACTCAGGATTGTGATTCAATTTTCAGGTGATCCAGCTTTGTACACGATTCAGCAGTTTATCCCTTTTCACCTTTTTTTTCTATCTTTTCACATGGCCAACCACACAAGCCCAAATCAATGTAGAAGACCTACACTCCAGGCTGTTCTGAAAGTGACATGAAAGAGAGGGTACTAATAATCATGTTGCCATGCCTAAGCTGCAACACTTATCTGATGCCTTTATCATTAAATCCTTGAGAATATATACAAAGATGTAAGTTTAGATGTAGTTCGCTCAATGTTTTAACTTTGTAATTTTTGTAGACAATGGAAAAATTTGAACCAGTTGGACGACTGAACCGTGAGCACTAACCTAACCAGTAACTCCCCCGGTTTCATTTCCCGAAACCGATAATATAAAAGATGTAAGAAGGGATGAGTTGCTTTCAAGAAGAACTAGGTAGTTGGGCAG